TCAGCAGTTTGTGATGTGGTTTTGGTGGTGTTCATGTGAAGTGATGCTCAGTCGGCAGCTGGAGTTCACCAGCTGAGTGCTGTCTGGCCTTGTAGCAGTTGTCAGAAGATGCTTAATTTTGTTGCATAGTTGCAGGCATTTGCTGTGTAATGTAAATAACTGCATAAAATACTAGCAGGAAACTTCGGCACATTGTTTATGACCATCTAAATATTAAAATTGCTCTCTTCTAGGGGCATCTGGTTCTGGTCAGAGGAAAAACAAGGGTGGTAAAGTAAGCCCTACCAGCCCATCAACCACTCCTGGCAGTCGACTGGGTGGCAATATAGTTCTGCCAAATGGAGGGCTGACAATAAGGGACCCTGCCACTGGAGCCCAGTATGTGCAAATTCAGCTTCTTCAGGTAAGAGCTGGGAAGAAAAAAACATGCTCATCTTCTCTGGCAAACTGGCACATTTATGGAAGAATGTGACTATCTGTGAACTCAGGTCCTGCTGCCCTTAGATGAGGTCATGAGCTCTGCAGTATTCTTAGATTATTTCACCTCTCATGTACAAAGTAGATAAGACTGGCATGAAAACAGTCCTGCAAAAAGAAGTTTCAGCCTAAGCTGTTATTTCTTTAAACTTTTGAAATAAAGCTTAAGGTTTAAAACAAACCAAAAGAACCTAGTAATTGGTGTGGGTGGATTAGTGGAGCATGGCAGTAAACATTTTTGGCCACGTGTGTATCTGTATAGAGGGTAAGTTCCTTCCACTTTATTCCTAACTGCTATGGTACGAAGAAAACTATGGGCAGAGTTCTCCATGGACCTGGTTTTCTGATAGGTGTAAACATTTATAACTTTTGTGTTGAGTATTGGCTTCACACAAACATGATGAAACTTGTTGCATATTTTTGAGTGTTACGTTTTTGGAAGGTGAACCATTTCTTCCTTTTCACATCATGCCAGTGTTCTGAGTTGATGAGGACAGGTTGTACACTGAACTAGGTTCGGATTTAAGTGGTAGTTAGCTTTCCACGTCGTTGAGAATCTAGGCTTTACGCGTACAGTGAAGTGGCTGTAGCAGATTTTTTTAAGATTGTGAAATTTGCCATACTGTGCTGAGATGCTTGGGGGTCATGTGATTGCATCATGTTTCTGTGTTCACAGGATGATTCCCCGGGAGAGGGAGATTTGCCCTTCCAGCTGAGCTCTCAGTCCTCCTCGTCCCATTCTCAGCTTACAGTGGATTTACCTGTTTACATACTTCAGGTACAGCATGTCAAGCTGTCGGGTTTTATTGCCTGGCTTGAAAGTGAAAACAGTTCTCTGTGCACACTCTAGTGTTCTGCCTAATGACAGAACCTTGCTTTCCATTGGGAGTTTAGTTTCCCTCACAAGAAGTAGTAAGCAGAGAGCTGCACTGCATGATCGATCTTGTGTCTGTTGCCAACCTTTGACACATCATAGGTGGTTGTTTTTCTTACTCTGTTACTGAGTAATGAATAACTAGATGTTACTCGTTTATTCTGAAGTGCCCCATCCTGTTTTCCTGATCCCATCCTGCAGATACTAGGTGGGTCAGGAAAGAGGGTCAGAATGGGAATGTAAGAGACTGTGGGAGGGGTGGGAAGTGGGAAACAATCCTGAGCCTCGATTTTAAGAGTGGTGTCCTTATGGGAATAGTAGTTAGGTTCAAACACCTGGTCACTGATGCATTCTTTGCTTTCACTCCCTGCTCAGTATGAGTGTCAGCAGTGTTGGAATGCAGGAGGCTTCCTGCAGCTGCTTGTGGAAATGCTCTGTTACCTGCTGTTCTGGAAAACTGCATGTTAGGGAGCAGGAGCAGCTGAGAACTGAGAAGCAATGAATGATTAGCATGTACATAAACTACCTTTTCTATTTGACCACAGGGGCTTTGGTTTTGATAAACACTGCAGGGCACCTATTCTTGCCAAGTGTGCTTCTCCTGGATAGAAAATAAAGTTTTTTACTGGGGAGTAGTACTAGGACTGTTGGCTGTGGTAGAGGGTTAATGGAGAGTAAGCAAATAGTGATTTTAAATTTACCTCTATTATTAATGCTCATCCGAAGTGTTCCATAGAAAAAAAACCTGTAGCAAAACAGTAGGAAAGTTTTGGGTTTCCTCTGAACCATTCAAAGCATTTTTCTGGTGTTGGGTAAATGTCAAGATAATCTTACTGATAAGCATTAAAAGCATCTAGAGGTGAAAGCACTGAACTCTTCATGCTGTCTGTTTGCTTTAACAGGAACCACACAATTCCACTGAAGACGATGCAGGTTCTGATAACTCTCAGTTCACTGGAAGCACAATAAACTTACAGGATCTGGAATGACCATTATTAAGAACAATTACTTGAAAACAAAGTGGGCAGTCATGACAGAGTGAGAAAACTGCGTGCGTCTTTTTCCAAGGAAAATGTGAAAAGTAGGAGAACTGGCTTATGGTTGCACTCTTTGTGATTTGCTATAGACAGTCATGGCTGAAAGATTTTCTTAACTAATGTAAATCCCACTTGATGTGCCTGCGTAAGATTCCCTGTCTGCCTGTGGTTGGGGAGGCTGAGGCAGACTGCTGTACAGTGTTGTTTCAGGGAGAAGTATTGTATTACACTTCAAACTGAGGTAATATTTACTGTTTTCACAGGAAAGCAAGTATTCTACAGCTAACAAACACAAATTTGTAATCCTGCCTACGACTTTCCTTCTGTTGGTCTCCTACTGGAGCCAGTGGCAACAAGGAATTAAGAGCTAAAATTTGCAAGTGTTTTCCACACCCAAAAAAATAATTGTTTCGGCCTCTGTGTTTTGGCAGAAAGCTGGACTAAAGTGACACAACAAAATTAATATTCTATGCCATGAAAATGAGATGCTCTAAAATCTTTGTTTTAGAAAGTTAGATTCTAAATGTTAACTTAGCTGTGAATCAGTTTGTAGCTCATGTTGAGTTTCTCCCTTTCCTTGCTCCTGAGTCCCAAATACTTTGCTGAATTCTTCCATCCATAGTTTTAAACTGCAATAGAATTATAGAATTGTACTCACTGTAAGTGATGAGCTAAGAGTCCAACAGCATCTGAGAGAGGTTTGTTTTATCTTTGTGTTCCTATTTTTGGGAGGAATGTTGACCATCTTGTAAATTTAAGCACCTTGATTTTTATCTCATCTGCCAAGTTACCTGTAAACTGGCCACTACCTTTTTTTTTTTTTTTTTTTGGGTTGTTTGGGATTTTTTTATTTTTTTAATTGAACGCTGTTAACACTTGTTCTTTATTGCTATCCCAGAGTGTCACATGCACATGGAGCTTCCGTCTGGTTTACAGAGTATGCAGTTGTCAGAGTATTTTGTGAGGGGAAAAGAATTGTTACCCAGGAAGATTTACCCCACTGAAAAGCTGCAGTTTCTCTTGGGGGTGGGAGGAGAGGTTGTATGTACTGTACTTACCTGGATTGCAGACACCTAAATAAGTATAGGGCTGTATAGGAAAATAAACCACCTTTGGTTACATTTTAAGGTAGTAATTTAAATGTTTCTTCTGGTGATATTCTGAATGCCTATAAAAGTATGTATAGGAATTTGATAAAAGGGTGTATGTACTGGTTTTTTTATTCTCTATGAGGTGTGTGTATGCACGTATGTGTATTTTTTTTACAAAATAAGAGATTACATGGAGGAGAACTTTGTGATCTTTCTAATCTTGCACATATTTATTTATTTTACAGTTATACTGATGTTAAATTCACATGAGGTCGTTCAGAAATGCTTTTACTTCCTGTGCCTTTTGAACTATGTATGTGTCCATATAAATGTTTCTTTTTTGATTGAAGACTTGGGGAGATAAAAAAGCAGACAGGTTACAGTGAACTTCAGCTCCTGATTTGTAGGCAGTATTATATCCTCTGGTTGAACCAGCTTTATTTTTCTATCTTTAGCCTAACTGAGCATTGAGGTCTCTCTGTTCCTCTCACTCTGAGTTTACAGCTTATGTCCAGGGAAAGTCTTAACCCTCTCAGGCTGGGCTTCCAAACCAAACTAATTGGTAGATAAGATCTTCTACCTGGTGACTGTGACTGCAGCATGCAGTCTACTCCTGAGAGGTAGAAAGATTGAGGAGGAACTGTGCTGAAGGGACTACTGGGTGTTGCTCTAGTGGTCACCATGCTCTCCCTGGAAGCTGAGATGCCTTGAGCTCCCAATGCCTGCATTATTCTGTTCTCAAGGACCATACCAGTTCTTAATCTATTAAAATGGCCAAGGAACACTCCATCTTTTTATGGGACTTGCAACCAAATCTTTCTACTTCTGAAAATGTACCTCACTCAGCTTTGTAAGTGAATGTAAAGTGCTAACCTCTTGAGGCCGAAAATTGGATCACTTGGCTTGGACTCCATTGCTGGCAATGGATACCTGAAGAACTGCTGGTGCAAAAGGGTTAATAAAGCTTTTTTTTTTTTATGGTCAGTGTGTCACTGGGTGTTGTTCTTTGCATGGATGCATCTGACTTAAAGCTAATTACTTGCAGCCTGATTTCTGCAGAGCTTATTTTTCCTTGGGTTGTGTCTTCTCCACAGTACTGGTCTGGAGCCTATAATGAAACCCATTCTTTGGATTAAAGCACAGCCATTGGTTTTTGTACTCCTTCAACAGACTTGTGATTATCATAAATTATATAAGCAGGTGCCTGGCTTAGTTGTGCCTTAACAAAGATTTTCACCCAGGACTGCGATGGATTTCACTACTCAGGTTCATAGATAGCATATTGGCATCAAAAACCGAATGAGAAAAGCATTGGTACTTAGCAGAAGCCTGACAAGTAAAATGAGAGAATTCTAATTAGTTTTCTTAGGCAAAATATCCGTTGGAGGAAAAGGCAAATCTAAGGGTAGGAGAAGGGGGAAATTTTATTGGATTGTAAAGCTGTTAAAATGACAGAAGGTAGATCTACATAAGACTTCTAGAGCTGCATCAGCCCTATGTGCTGTGGTTAAGGTTGTGCTGTCAAGTGAAATAATACAATTGTTCCTCCTCCTCCTTATCTATTTGTCCTTTGCTGTTCTTTTTCTTCTGCTTCCTGGCAGGTGGGCTGGACTGTGAAGTGCCAGCTTCCCGCTGCTCTGCTGAGGAAGAAGAGGCACGTGCATCAGTGCTGTGTGAGTGTGTCTGAACCACATGGCTAAAGCTGCTCCATGCTGCCATGGCCCCTTGCTCTCTGTTTCCTAGGCAGGTTGCAGTGTGTCTGTTAGGTGTGTTTTCTATTAGAAAATGAATGTCCAAGCCCCTGAAGGCCATGTGTGTTTCTTGTGCTTCAGCTTCTGCAACATCCTGTTGTACCTGCAACTGGTTTCTGACTAGAGCTTTGTTTGTACTGTCTCGGGAAGAGGAAGGAAAGTTGGAAGTCCAAAGAAATCTTGGAGCCTGCAGAACCCTCTGTTTTCTCTTGGTAAAGGAGCAGGGACTCATGGTGCCTATTCTCAGTCACCCATGCTGTCACTGCCTTGGTGTGACAGAACTGGGATGTCCTCACTGCTGTGTTTACCTGTGGAAGGTGCAGCAGGAGCCATAGCTGAAGCTGCAGTGAGCCTCCTGAGGGGCCAGAGCTCAGTTTGGCATCATGTGGAGCATGTAAGGAAGGGTGGTGGTTTGATGGTATGGCTGAGCTGATCTAGGGCCTTGCTATTGTGGAGTGTCTTGCTGCTACCCAGTTCCTCGTTTGCAATTTTCATGCTTTGTTTAATACACCAAAGTTAACAAGTTGAAATGAGTTTACTGAGAACTGGCAAGTAGTGGAAGAGGTATGTGGTCAAGAGAAGGATAGAAGAGGGTTGATGGAAGGACACTGAACTGGAATAACATCCACCGTGACTGACTTCCCAGTGGTGGCTTAAGTTAGGTCACTCCTGTAAACTGGGCTACACCTGGCTATAGACACTATCCCACACAGTTTTGGAGGCCCCTGGTAACACTCTTCTCTTAAACACTTGATAGTCAGGTACTGCCAGCTTCTCTGAAGTGAGCTGTTGAGGCAAGGTGTTCCCATGGATCACTGCACTTACCTTTTTTTTCTACAGTTGCTGGTGAAATTTCCATAGCCCTTTTCAATCTTTCCTCCTGCTGCTGCTTCTGTTGTCTCAGCTTTCCCTCTCTGAGCCTTTTGAAGGGAGGAGGAAATAAAGGAGGGATTAAATGCAGCATGCAAATACACTTTTGACACGCAGCATCTACATCTTGTATGACATATCTGTGTAGGGCCACCGGAGCACAGAGGTTTGGGTGCAGCCACTGCTGGAGTTTGTTGCTGTGAATGGGGTAAGGGAAGCACTTATTGCAGTTGGTCCTACTCTTTCTGGAGTGATGGGTGGAAAAAGCATGTCAGGTTTTGAAATGGAGATGCCAGTCAGTCATTCTCTGTTACAGACATGCTCTGTGCCACCTTCAGGAGGTGGCTTACACTCTGCAGTTGACTGGGACACTCACCAGCTTTGTGGGTAAGTGGTGCTTGTTGTGTCACCATTGCTCACCAATGCAACCAAGTCTGTAACACACAGGTGCTAGTAGGAGGGGTTTACACCCATGGAGCTACACTTTGCCCAAATGGGCACAGCAGAACCACCGCAACCTTTCTACTACAAAGCTGAATAAAGATGCAGAGACAGAGAGTAACCAGAAGGAAAAAAATCACTGTTCTGGCTTTAAATTCTCACACTATGCTATCTGATTTGCCTGAGGATGGCTAGATACAGTCAGCAGTTCAGTTATCTTTGTTATTTAGAGGAAATCCCATGTAAGTAACTGGGTCAAAAGGGATGTGTCTCATTTTGGAACCTAACAGTGTTCATTGGCTACTATTTAATCTAATAGTACAAGTTAAACTTTAGAGTATTGTCAAAGAAACATTTGAAAGCTGGCATTGCTGACAAATACCCTTACGCACCTATTGAAGCCCGACAAAGTATCAGGGCATGGCAGACTGCATTAGCTAGAGGACTAATTTTCTGCTTAATCAGTATTGTTACTGGAAATTGTCTTCTTAAAATGATGATTGTCATAATTGAATCTGGTTTTGCTTGTGGGTTTGGTGTTTTCTTTTTTATTCTTCTAGATTTTCCTCTTTTCTAATGTAGCTTCCAGGACTTTTCTAATGTGACTGTTCTTGATGATGATGAGATGCAAGTTCTATGAATGTGGAACCCTTACAGAAGTAAAATGGGATGGAATGGTCACATGGGATTTCAGGTTGTTGCTACAGCTTCTTGGGTTGATTTGGCTCTTTTGGCTGTAAAAACAGAGGCATTTTCCAGAAGAGGATCTTGCCTTACCTTGTCCTCCATTCCTTTTTTATGGATTTCTTAGCCTGTTCCATCTTTTCTGGTGGGATTCCCTCCAGGTTGTCCAGTAAATCACTGAGCTGCTTTTCTATTACCTTTAGCATCTGCACTGTATCCAGGTTTGTCTCATTGTCTCCAGTGCACTGGCAATAGACTTCCAGCACCTTCTTCTTCAGGCTTGTGAGCATTCTGTCCTAGAGGTGAGAGGCATGGCTGGGTTCTGCCCAGTAGATCCACAATATTGCTCCAAAACCCAAAGGAAATCAGTAAAGGAAACACTTTAATCCCCCCAACAAGGCTCAATTGCTTGTTTCCCGGTTGGCTTAGCAGCAATGTTTGGGGCAGACAGTTGTATTGAGCCATTCTCCTGTTGGTCTTATCTTCCCAACTTTGCTGTGATCAGGGACAGATTGCAGGTGCCCAGTTGTCTCTGGTGAGCCCTGCTCCTACCTTGTAGCAGCTGCATGGAGCAGACACATTTGGCCCAGTTTGCTGCCCCAGCAGTGCCTCAAACCTTCCCTTGCTGTAGCTCCTTTGCTGAGAAACAGTGCTGATCCCTCTTTGGTGCAACCCACTGTCTGCTCTTGTTCCCAGGATGGATATGGCTGGTGGAGAGGACCCACTTGTGCACTTGTTAAACCCCCTTGCCTTGATTTTGGCATGTACCTGATCGCCAGCATTGTGTTCTCCAGAGGAAAAGAGGTGAACTTTGAACTTCAGGTCTGCTACTCTCTCTTCTTCCTTTGCAACGGAGGCTCGGAGGGTGTTCACCTGCTCTTTCAGCTCTGCTAACTCCTTCTCCCTAGGCCAGAAGAGAGGAGGTGTTTGGAAAGGACACCTCCAAAACACAGGACGCCTCTGCTCTCCCCAGCCTGGGCCTGTCCCTCCTGCTGCCGGCAGATGGAGGTAACACTTCAACCATTTCTGGCAACTTGGACCCACAGCCCTGAGAGCAGAGGGAACTTCTAGTTTTTCTAGAAAAACAGTTAGTGTGCTGGTGTGGGGGAGTGAGAAGAAGTACTGCTAAACATTCAAGATTTTTTAATAGGTCAGTGGGGACTCCAGAATACCTTTAAACACTTTCACAGGGAGATAAGCTACACTTCAAATGGGAATATGTGTGTCTACCTGCCATTGAAATAGTATATTGTGATGACACTTAGGTTCCCTGTTGTCTTCCTCTAGGAAGGTTTTGCACTCACTTGGCATAGATGCTGGTCTGGATCACTCCAGGAATTGCCTTGTTTCTTCTTTTGGTCTTCCTTTATGAGAATTACATGATACTTCTCTCTTGTATGAACTACATTATGCATCAGTTCCCTAGCCTGTGTCTTGAGGACTAAGGAATTCATCCCAAGCTCAAGTCTTATCTCCTAAATTTAACATTTCCTAGGTGCTCACAAGAAAGACTCTCTGCTGTGTGCTGTGTGAACAGCATTACGTGTGGTCTGCAGCAGCATGCAACCTGATGATTAGGTACCAGTGGGGGGAAAAGGAGGGTCAGTTATATTTGAAAGCTGGGGCACAGGGACCCCTTCCCCTCACTTGCAGGATCACACTTACATGCTTTCATGTGTGGTAATGAAAGTGTGTTGCACCTTGTTCCAACTTTCCTCAGCCTCCTGGGAATTCTGGATAAAGTGTATGTTCTCTTCCTCCATCTCCGTGAAAGTATTCAGCAGTTGTTGGGGATCAGTAAAATACAACTCAGGCTCCTATGGTGAAAAACACATGATAAGGGTTTTTTCCTTCTCTAGCTTCTTTTCCATTGAACTACATGGAGGTTGAGCTGTACCAGCCCTGGCTGTTCAAACACTCTTCCATCTGGAGAGCTCCATGGCCATTCATGTAAAAACTTCTCCCACCTTCCTGCCATGTGTGTAGCTTTACTCTGCCTCAGTAGCTCACTCCCCAAAACAAGCTGCATTTTGGGGAGTAAAACTTAGTGCAAACATATGTGAGTGGCAAACCTTCAACTTCAGGCACAAAACAGTAACTGCACTAATTTAAAAATCTTCCATTATATGATGTCATATCTTGTTGGAGGATGGCAAGCTTAGAGATGATGGTAGGTTTTGGAAACTGGAGGAGGAAAGTTAAACCAAGTTATTTATGATACATGTTGCCAAAACATGAACATTTATGAATGTATAAACATATGTTTATAATTTGTGGCTACAGTAATTCCTCAATACCTTAACTAATGGCTAGAAGGTGGGAGAAATTAGTAACATCAATAAATGACACAGGGAGAACAGAAAATGTAAATATTTCAACAAAAAAATTCTGACCTCCTCTTCATCTGAGCTGGTTTCACTTCCTGCATCCTCCAGCGAACTTCTGAAAAAGCATTTTGTGTATTAGGCCCTTAGAGAAATGATAGTTCAGAGGAGACTTTGCTAATGACTTATGAACACTGTTGTTCACTGTTTCTGTTTGCTCCTTTGCACGTTCCCACGTATACCCCCCCGTGGTCTTTGGGGGTCAGTACGATCTAGGGGTCACACAGGCAGTGTGGGAGCTACTTTTATCCATGAGCAAGCTGCCTTTTGCACTCCTCCAGGCTGTGCTGGCCAGCAGGGTTGGGATGTGATGCATGAACCTGAACTGAGAGTGTTGATCTAAATGATTCTAAATTCACTAGGAGGCTTTGACTCCTGGGCAATGAGAAGGGAGAGGCAAGAATCTTACTAAAAAGCCTCAGGCAGCAGCAGCACATGTGTAGAAAAAGCCTTGTGCTCTTTGTGGGGCATAGTAGTACTCATAAACAACATGGTGTAGACACCGTGGAGAGTCTGCAGTTTTTACCTGCCCTGGAAAAAGGTTGTTGAGTGCTCCTTCCTCTGCAGATGAGGTGGAGGAGGGGACAAGAGGTGCCTGGCTGCTGTCAGCAGCACAGATTGCTCATCACCTTCATGTGCACCTGTCACACTGTGCCAGGGAGAGGTTCTAAACCTCTGTCTGCATAATCTTAGTGCCAGCCCCACTTGGGCCAAGGCTCTCAGCAGAGGATTTGAGAACAGAACACTGTTGGAGTAGGCACATAGGTACTGACTTGCACACCTGACAGTCTTCTACTAGTATTTTGATTTGTTCCAATAAGCCCCAGATCTCCGTATCCCCACAGCAAAGGTGAGGAGTAGGTTTCCCCTCTGCTGACTCCCAGTCAGTTGAGTGCTCTCGATAGTACTTAAGTCTGTCGTTTGCATTGTCTTGTACTTACAGTTTTCTTGTTAAAAGAGGCTTCAGGAAGTGTCTGAGCCGTGGCCTGATACCATGGAATGACCCGAAATCCAAACCTTCTGAAGACAGCAGGGAACTTGGCAGATCTGTATAAGTGGTGCAGTGGGGACTGGCAGTGTTTGTCCTGGCTGCGAGGCCCTGGCCTGGAGGCAAGGGGACATTTACACTTAGAGCCTGGGGCTCTCCCAGTGAGGAGTGGACAGTGCTTCCTTGGCATTCACCCTCCTCTGCCATGAGGGGAGGCAGGGCACTTCCTTCATTATCTCTGGATTCTTCTGTTTTCAAATCCTTTTCCTTTGTGTGCTTTTTTCCATGTTCCTCCCGCCACTCTTTCGGAGATAGCTGATAGAGGATGTCCCTGTACATCTTGCACTCCTGCAGAGTATCCTTGAATTCGGATATATCTCTGGGTTGAGAGAAGTGGACAAAGTCTGTTAGCAGGGAGAAAAGCTGCTGTTTGAACAGATTCTTTATCACTCTTGATATTCACCAACGTCCAGAGAAAGGACAAGAAGGCACATGTTTTCATGGACATGCAAAGACAAATGGGAACCTGCCCTGCATGCTTTTTGTGGTTCCTGATGTGGAAGCTGCCTGGTCACATCTCTGTGGCCAGACTCTTGCTATAGCACTGGGCTTGCTAATTTTGGAATTTTTACTTGACAAGGAATAAGAAATTTTGCCAACTCAACTCATAATTTTAATTTTAGTTATGTTATTTTTGTCTTTCCCCTGGTCTACTTAAATTTTGGCTGAAATATTTATACTTCCTAAGAATATAATTAAAAAAAAAAAAACCAGTTGAGTTTTTTTCGAAACAAAGACAGCATCTGGAAAACAAAAGCCAAAAGATTTTGAATCTTAAAATGGAACATTTCTGGAAATCTTTCCCTGGCCAAGGGCTGTGAAGGTATAGCACTGTAGGAGTTGTTAAAGGCCTTGCAGGAATATTGTGCAACCATTACCTTTGGACATTGTTTATTTCGGAAGTGATTGCCTGGATCTCTGTTGCTTTCTTTGTCTTTTCTGAGGTTTCTTTTCTGGCACTAGGAAAGAATGCATGGACATAAACCTTTAAACAACTTAGTAGTGAATTGAGGTGCATATGAAACAGAGAAAAAGATATCATATGAGCACTACATCTGTGTTTTGGATGTATCCCAGGTGATGCTTGGCTCCTGCCTGAAGGTCCTGCTTCTCTTGGCAAGGAGTATGGCAGCCCAGTGATGGGTCTAGGTGAAGGCCTCCCTAATGTGGCATCTGCTGAGCATCAGTTGCTGTTCTGCCCTTGTGATACCTGTAATGGGCCAAAGTGCTCAACTTGCTTCAGTGAGGGAACTGTTTCTGCTGTAAGGGATTGGGCAGTGGCACCAGCCCTGGGAGAAGAATGGAAGTGGTGGGGCCAGCAAGCAGGTTCCTTCCTGCCACCAGATCAAGGGCTTTGGCAATGAGGGGATTCCCTGGCTGTTGCTCTCCTTCCTCTCTTTCAATGAGTGTGAGAACTAAAGTGTCACCAGGACTGTAACTCTGGGAAACTCAGAGCTTTTCCTAGCCAAAATCCTGCAGAGAGGTCAAGCAGAAAATCTCCCTTGTCCAGCATGAAAGAGCACGTGGGTGATTCCTTCGAAGTTACTTACATTCTCAGGGCTTGAACGGAGTTTTTATGACTCTCTTTCAGGGACTCCTCAAACATGGCAGCATCCTTCTCCAGCTGGCGTTCAGCCTTTTCCAGTTTTTTTATCTCATTCTTTACTATGTTCTCCATCTTTTCAATCTCATCTTGCTTTACTGCCATGTAATACTGAAATGAACCCAAAGGCAACACAGTCACATCACTTGGTTGATTTTAAAGGTACATTGGTTTAGCTTTGTTCTTGATTACCTGATAGTTGTTGGTGGAGAGGGTAAGGATTTCAAACCAAGTGCAAACTAGGTACATAGAGGCCAGGAGTTATTTCGGAAGGAACATTACAAATAAGCAGTGAAACTTAAGATAGAATCCAGAATTCCCAGCACTGCATTAACTCCTGTCTGACAAAGATTGATTCAGTTGTGTTACAGGACAGTAACAGAGGTGAATAATGGGGATATTCCAGCACAGGTATTCCATTCCCTCATTCTGAGTTCAGAATGGCTCCCAAGTACAATTTATGTACAGGAAATCAGGAGCCAAAATGTCAGTGTATCTGTGCATTTCACACATGAAATAGTTGCATGGGGGCTACTGAATGATGCAAATTACCTACATTCCTTTGTTTCTTGATTGGGGGTTGCTGGGCTACAGACTATGTGTGTCTGTAACACAGAACTTGGCCAGTCAGTTCATGAGGTCTGATGTGTACCTCTTTGGAAGAAACACCAAAATAAAGCAACACAGGGAAGAGTAATTAAATTAACAGAAAGTAGCATTGCAAAAGCCAAGTACCTCAAGAAGACACATCTCTCTTCTGGCATTTATGTAGTCATGGATGGTCTCCTTTTCTAATGAGTAATCTGAAATTAGAATATAAATTTGTTCAGACTAGAGGAAATATGGCCAAGGCAAAACACAGTGAATATGTAGGCTGTCATAAGCATGGATCTGGTTGGCATTGGAGCCAGCAATACTGATTATTGTATTATAGTCTTAACCTTGTTTAGGATTAGTTTCATATGTGCTTTCATGCAATAAAACCGTGTAGAATGCAGTGGAGAAGATGGTCCTTACAGAGGTCCATATCCTCTAGACCTTAATGGCAAAGCTACTCCTCATGTCAGAGGCAGAAAGTTTAGGTCTGCATCCACTGAAATCCAACATTAAGTCAGCTTAGTAGAAATGTTTCCATAACACAAGGTCATGCAAACTCTCAGCTGACTCCCAGCTGATTCTAAGAACTTCCAGCTACCGTGAAGAATGGTGGAACCCAGGCTACTGGCACATGCTCTGTATGTAAATGCATGAGACAGAGATGGCTCAGCCACACAGAGGTTGGCAAGATGCAGCATGTAACTCTTGTGTCTGCAAGAGCTCACCAAAGTCAGTCAGAGGCAACTGCTCCTCCCATCCCCTCTTTGGTCTTTGCTATAGGCTGTGACCCAGCTGGGCAATACCACTGCAAAGGCACTGACTGTTCTCTACCTTTTTGCATGGCTAATTTACGTAAAATATACTTCGGAAGAGTTTTCAGTCTCTCATCATTTGTTGCTGCTTTTCTGTTCTCCTCTTCTTCCTTCTGCAGAGCTTTCCACAACCCACTGTTTGCTTTTATTCTAGTGGAGTAAGTGGTTTTCTCATGGACTTTCATGGTCTTCATCCTTTCATGTTCCTGTGAGAAGTCAGATACGTGGACAGTTTGACTGTGTGCTTTATTTGCTGTCATTTTTAAAGACATGAGAGTTATTCACAGTCCAGAAATTTGCAGACTGCTGATGCCCTGCTGATGCATGTTTCCCTGATTTATCTGACTAATCCCAATGATATTCTCTCTTGAGGCAACCAAAACACTAAATTTCTTAGCACTTGTTCTCATTAGTTTTTTGATTTGTATTCTGCATCCATCCACCAGCTGTGCCAGTTTGTACCTACTCAGTGTCCTTATTTTTCCTTCCTGAATTATTCCTGGGACTGAAGGGAAATTTTCTGGCTTTCATCCTTTAAATCCCCTCGTTAAAAGGAACAACAGAACAGCCCATGCTTAACCCACTCAGTCCAGCTTTCACAGAGGCATGTAAACCTCCAAGTACAGATTCAGAGGATTTGGCTTCATGGAAGGTAAAAGGTTGTACCTGCTCAGTGTTCTTGCATGGGCCAAAGTGTAATTCTTTGCAGTCTGCACCATTTGGGCATGGGTTATGCTGAGGACATCACTCAGCAGACTGCACTTCTTCCTAAGCTCTTCCCCATACTTATATAGTGACTTCCAACCCAAGCAAAAACCAGACCATATCAGTCATCAGTGTGAGATGAGGAGGCCTTACTTAAACTTGTTTGGAGCCCTCCCATTGTGATTTAGAAACAAGGACCTCTTGCTTCCTTCCACACTACTGCCAGGGTGTGTGACCATGTGCAGACCTCTCAGAGATCATAGATTCACAGAATGGTTTGGGTTGGAAGGGACCTTAAGGATCATTTAGTTCCAGCCTCCCTGCCATGGGCACGGACACCTTCCATTAGACCAGGTTGCTCAAAGCCTCATCCAACCTGGCCTTGATCACTTCCAGGGATGGGGCATCCGCAACATCTCTGGACAACCTCTGCAATGCCTCACCACCCTCTTCCTAACATCTAATCTAAAATCTCTCCTCTTATAATTTAAAACTGTCCCCCTCCTCCCTCTTGTTCTATCACTATCTGCTTGTGTAAAACGTTGCTCTCCTTTTTGTATAAGCACCATTTAAGTACTGAAAGGCTGTAATCAGATCTCTCCAGAGCCTTCTCTTCTCCAGGCTGAACATCCCCAGCTTTCTCATGAAGAGATCTTTTGATCTCTCATGCCCTAAATTCTGGTATTCTGTTGGTTGGTTGCCTGCCCTAGTAACTGCTTGTGTATACATTAGCCTAAAGCATGTATACATACCTCCTTCGCCTTTTTCCTTTCCTTGTCCCCTATTGAGAAAATATCAGCACCTGGTGGGATTGTAAATGGATTTTTCATTGCATTTTCTCCACCCTCTTCTGGGCTTTCTGCAAAAAAAAAAAAAAAAAAAAGAATGAGGATGTAGGAGCTGCAAAGTAGAGTATCAGGACCCAGTGCAAAGGGAGTGTGATCTGCTGCATCACGTGGGAAGGGTGGGCAGCTGTGCTCACAGCTGCAAATGTCTAACAGAGCTGGATCAAGAGCAGGGAGCTGGATAGGGTTTACAAGAAGCAAGTGGCATAACTGACACTTCTGTATTGTTTATGTCACTTGACCATATCTGATGAACAACTTGGGATTTCAGTAAGGGATTTTTATAAATCTGGAGCTGGTTTACCCATCTCATCTGCTTGTGGGCAGAAGAATCTGACTACAGGCCTCTCCTTTCTCCTAACAAGGCAAAGCTGCCAGAGCATTATGTCCTTACCTGACAGCGCAAGCTGGGTTTTCATTTCAGTGTTGGAAGAGAGACTTAGATGTTGACCCTGTATGTGGAGATGGTGTCTTTGACCCTGTCCCAAGGAAAACCATAAACAAGTCAGTTGGAACCTGCCAATAACTGATGTGGTAAGTTTTACAGCAGTGATTGGCCTAGGGGGTTTCTGGATCTTTACCACTAACCCTTCAGTGTCTGTAGGAATTAACAAAAAGCTTCATTAAGCTGGAAAACATTTGTATCCCAATCCCCAAAAGGATATGTTCACCCCTGGCTTTTGTGAAAGCTGTGTAAAACACAGTCCTCCTTACACACACACTGATGGGAAAGCAAAAACAAAACAATTTGGAGACAAGTAACCCAAGTCCTTTTTCTCTTGTTCCACCCTAGAGCCAGTTCTGATACACGCTCATGTTTTTTCATCCTCCTGTCACTGGTTCACAAGCTACATTTTACTCCCTAAAGCTCTTTCCAGTAATTGCTTCAGCATTGTGGGTTTCTTGCAACAAGGCTGAATGACTGTTGGACAGCACAGACACACTGTATGGAACTCTGTTGCATTTCATTTTAGGTTGGCAAACTGTTGAAGGTTAGGTTTTTGTTTCTCTGACTCCAGTCTCTTTTTGTAGTTTTTGCTGTGGGTCCTAAGGGAAAAGGCATAATTGGAATGATCTCACAGAGAACAGATAGTCCATTGTTAAAGTTATCCTTTAATCACCAAAGGCAGCAAGCTGGGCCCAGTGAGGTATTAGTTCAATTGATGCAATTCTGCTGCTGGCACCATTCCTGATCGGCACTGGTATAAGACACTGCAGAAAACATCCTCTTCCGCTTGCACTAGTTTTAAGGCTATTTTAGAGCATCAGTTTTTGCTCTGAACAGCCTCCAGCTTTTATGTATGTTGAACTAAACTCATCTGGCCTAATTTCCATGTATGTCCTTGGTGCTTTGTGTTTCCTATTAGCTGTGTTTCTGCAGCTGCCCAATTAGTACCTTATTCTTCAGAGGTGTCAAACTTTCACTGCTGATGAGACACAGAGGCTAAGATAGAATCCAGGCTGTTTGAATATATCCCAAAAGTTTTCTCTCTCCTTTTCAGTTCTTGAAGTACCTTTTTCAAAAGCTTCCTTCACTCTTTGCTTAGACTTCAAATCTCCCTGAACTTTGCTTAACTTAAGGGGATATTTTTCTCTAGGGGTGTCTCATCTGTATCCTGGAACAACATCACCCCTGCTGATGGTGTGAGTTTTGGAAAAAGCCCCATCAGGGCAGGGGTGGGAAGGCAGTCAAATGCCTGAACCATTCAGATGAATACAGTGTGTGAAACCTGCAGAGCAATTGCACTAAACACCTGGAGATTCAGCCCTCAGTACACACTTGATTTCTGTAATCTAAAACCCTTCTCATAAAAATTTTCCATTTCCTGTGGTTGATTTAAATTTCAGCTACAGTGAATAAGACTGAAAAGAAGGACTAGACAGAGAATACTGGCATATGGAAAATAATTGTCAGTGCAACCCTCAGAGATAAAAAGTGCTTTATAATATTTTAGCTAAATATTAGAAACTGTTTCTGTGATTGACTTATAAGTATTCATTTTATTAAGGTATTTTTTGTTTGAGGTTGTTGGGTTTTTTAATAGATTGTTTGCACATCACTTTGGAAATAATGCCAAAAGCTCCAGAAGCACTAGCTGTGCTAATTATAATTATTAAGATCAATAATGCAAATAAAAAAAATGCTTCATTGCTAGAATCATTTGGCATATATTTCACTGCCTCTGACATTTTTATGTCCTAGTAGCTGCATACCAGTGGTATGTGAATCCATAGATAAGGCCTTCCTGGTTTTAATTTACTGAAACTTTTATTCAGTGCTTTCCCCTAGCATCTGTGCAGAAAAATAATCATAAAAAAAGCCAAAGTAAACACGCAGACCGAATAACACACTAAACCCATCCACCACATTCCCAGTGCTCGGGGTGAGTGTTTTATACACCCAAATGGTTCAGATGACACCACTGCTTGCAGAGGAGGTGGCGTCACCCGAGTGTATGGACGGGACACCTCTGTCCCTGCAGAGTTCTCTGTACTCACAGCGCCCGTCGCCCACGGGGAGCGGGAGGTGACACATCCAGCATCTCCGCCGCTCCCGGCACAGCTCATTGCTGTGATTGCCCATCCCCTCTATTTCGTTTCTCACCCAGAGGAGTGTGCGCTCCTCTCCGCGGGACGCAGCGCTCGGGGCAGAGGCTCAGCCAGGGCTGTGTTTGCAGCGCCTTGGGAACCTCTCCCGTTGCCAGGGGCGGCTGACGGCACAGGCGCAGGGAGGGATTGTGGAGTCATAGAACGGTTTGGGTTGGAAGGCACCTTAACGATCATCTGCCCCCAAATCCCCTGCTATGGGCACGGACACCTTCCACTAGCCCCATCACACCTGACCTCGGGCACTCCCAGCACCCCTGGCTGTGCTCCAGGTGTTCTGAGCAAGCAGCTTGCTGAAGTTCAACTGAGATGTTGGTTTGAACTTCTTAGAAAAGGAAAAAAACCTGCTGTGGTGTAAGAGCTCTCCCTAGCTTGCTGGGTTCTCTATTCATTACTCATTTTCTCAGGAAGAAATTCTTCACTGGAAGAGTGGCCAGGCATTGGAATGGGCTGCCCAGGGAGCTGGTGGAGTCACCATCCCTGAAAGTGTTCAAGAAATGACTGGGTATGGCACTCAGTGCTATAGTTTAGTTGCAAAGTGGTGTTAAAGGTTGGATGTTGTCGTGGTTTAACCCCAGCCA